AATTGAAATATAAGAATAGTTTTTACTCGGCACTCGATAGAGGGAGTAAAATTACGCTAGTGTTCTTACTTATAAATTTTGAAAAATTGATTAGAAATAATTATATAATTAAGAATCATATTTGATATTTATGTGAAATCATAACCTTAGGCTTTCTCACTTGTTTATTCTTCTAGTTTGCATTTATTTGTTAAATTCGTCATCATATTAGTTTAAAAACATTGGTCATAACATTTAGATAAAATAGAGGCTATATAATTATAGTATTTCGTAGAAATTTGAATTACAATTCCCGTGGGTTCGACACTCTAACTCCATTATTATATTACAAAATTTGACACCGTACACTTACGATATAAATCACATTATAGAAAACACGTAACAGTTATAAAATTATAAAATTACTTTTAAGCACGGTCAAATATGCTTAAAGACTGACAAACACACAAATCAAAGCAAGACACAAAATGCAAGAAACATATAAAAAATGAGTAGATGCCAAAAAAAAAATAGTTCTAGAAATACACCCACAAAATGAGCAAATGCTCATCTCTTTAGAGTCGACTATCACGTTATGTTTACAAAAAAGAAAAATGGATAAATTTTATTTATCTTAGTTCCCTTGACACCGTCCAGCTAGTCTACCTTGCTAAACAAAACGCTAGGATTATCCCTAACAGTGGAGAGAGGATCCTCACGCTGATACCCATGAAGCCTCAAGGAGATAATAATGGATAACTACCGTTGCTTATGTACTTGGGTTGGATCCACTTTTACCAAACCTCTCGAAAAAATGCATAGACAACATATTCTACGATACCACCCACTTCTTAAGCAGTTAAAAAATAAAAATACTTGGTCGTGCTTAATAAAATGGTTTGTTGGTTGCTTTTCCCAGTAAGACTTATTTTAAGCTAGGCCACACGTTGAAAAGCAAGGAGAAAAATGGGCAAAATTTAAGACCAAAATGAACAAATGCTCATCTCCAAGAGTTGACTATCATGATATGTTTACTAACATGAATATTAATTTTATTTATTTTTGCTTCTTTAACACCGTTCAGCCAGTCTACATTACTAAAGAAGACGATAGAATTATCCCTAGCATTGGATAGAGGATCCTGAAGCTGGTACCAAAGAAGCACAGTAGAGCTATTGTCACATTACCATGCTTCAGAACCAGCCACAGAAACTGTTTATAAGCTATTAATACCTGTCTCTTAAAACTGAACTTTGAAATCTGGATGTGACTAAACTGGAAAAACTATAACTTGAAAAAGCTTTTACAATATCTCAACTCTCAAGAAAGTGCAATTATGGCAAAACTCAGGAATATGTAAAATTAATAACTTAAAAACCAATGGAAAAACTCAGGAATATGTAAAATTAATGTCTGAAGAAATGATCATATATCTTTCGGGCGTACAAAACGAATCTGACAATTGGTAAGTCAAGCTTATAAGTTCTGATAATCAGATCCCAGAACAAAATAATAATAATAATAATGAAGTAAAAGAAAAATTATTACATTCATAAATTATCCATACGGGATTCTTTATCTACTTCTGAACGCATCAATGCAAGGAATCACATTCTTACATGCTTTTGCTATATGCTGCAAAGTTTCACCTTACTATTAGCTGAGGTCCGTCACAGAATGCATATCCTTCTTACGATTTCTGAGTGTGTGGACACAGAAATGGCCTAAGCAGAAGTTGGAATAACTGTCTGGAAAGAACATTTTTGATCTGTGAAAGAGATGAAGAGCTCATCCGGCTTTCAATTTCACTACAAGCCCCCGAACCATTACAATGTACCAAGTGGGGATTCAGAGCCATGATCATCCACCAACCAGAGACCATAATCACGAAATCTCTTTATCTTCTTCTCAAAACCAACAATGTAGTTATTGTGTATAATAACATGCATTCCCTTGGTTTCTTTTACCCATGTCTTGTTCCTGAAGTATAAACCACCAGTGGGAAATGCTGCCTGAGGGAGCAGATACAAGTCCACCTGAAATGATATTGAAAAAGAATGAACGTCGAGGACGAATGCATAATGATTATATAACAAATTCACAAAAAACCATCTCAATGATTAGATAAATATGCCTCAAGGAAAACCTTGCAGAGGATGACCATAACTGGCCTTTCTACATACAAAACATGGTGCAAACACGAGTTCTAAGGATATTGATGACTGAATTATTCAGGAAAATACAGGTAGCAATGGGAAGTAGGACATAATATATACCTGTCCAGCAGTTTTCATTAATGCCCAATTAAATCCAGGCTGGTCATTGGCTTTCTTTGCTCTAGACCAAGGCTCGGCCTGAAGTTCTTCAATCCATTTCTTCATAACTAATTTTGCTCCATTGGTGGGGCGCATAAAAATCATGCAGCTACAAATATAAGGCCGACCCTTTTTTCCTGGAGGTGGCAAAGAATGAGAGTGATTCAGAGGTTTCACCTGGCAGTTTCAGAGGGCAGAAAAGAGAGCAGTCCTTGTGTCATTAATAGTCACTAGTGAAAATCCAAGCAAAGGACAATAGTTTGATTGATAACAGACTTAGCATTGCAAATGAATCAGGCCTTGAGTAAGCAAAACTATATGGTATGTCAGATAACAAAATCTGATACAATCAGCAGTTTTTGTTATACTTTGTGAGGAAGTTATGACTGCCATGCAATGAGACATAAAGATCAGCACCAGACACCAGACTTAGGACGTGTCTGGTGCTGATTCTTCATTAGCTTAAAATTGAAACATTGACCGTTGCTTTGCCAAAGTAGACCCCAACTCTGAGATGGCTGGTCAAAAAAGACGGCCTTATTTAACGGCTATGAAATCAATTTTTTTGCTTCAAAAAGCAGGCCCAGACAGCCCCTTAACATTACTTGGATTTCATTCTATTTTCTGATCAAAGCCTCCCAATGATATCGTTACTACTGGAATAATATGCCCACTATCAGTCTTTAAATTAGTCAGAACTTATTCTACAGCCTCAAAAGTCCCCGAACTTTGATGATATTGTCCCAGATTATTATTGTTGAAGGGCTAAATTTAAATAAATAAATGTGCATCCTTCGTGACTGCTCAAACTTTTAGATGAGATGATTCAATATGAAGAGAAATATAGATATTCCAAAAACCAGTAAAAAAGAGATTGAGAAATCCAGTTCTGGAAGTAATAGTTTCAGTCCGGCATGCAAAAATAGCTCGTTGATATTCATGAATTAAAATCTATTTTCAACTTTGGTATACTTACAAAAGCCATGTCGTCCATGAAGTACACATCATGCTCGCCTTGCAAATAAGGAAACGGATCTGCAAGCCAAACCATATCGACATCATTGTACATAACATTATAGCCCAGCTCCAAAATATTCAGGAGGTGGCGGGGCCTTCTGGCTGTAAAGTTGAAGAAGCCCTGCAACATGATAATAGCCAGGATTATATACAAGGGATGAATAAAGTTTCAAATAAAAGTGTTAGCTATTAGAAATATGGAATGGAAATAAAAAAGAGGAGATAAATACATTATTAAAATAATATATATATTTTTTGATAACCATGGGTGTCTGGACTACCTTGCGTGCACCTCGACCAGTCCCACGAGACCCTAAGGTTTATGACCGGATGCTCACCTCAGTGGACCTGAGAGGACTCGAACTGATGACCATTGGAAGCAAACCTAAGGCCTTACCAATTGAGCAACCTCTCAAGGTCATTATTAAAATAATATGTAGAACGCACTACTAGAGAAATTTAGAATCGTTTGTAATATACAGTTTGTCAATTTATAAAGCATTCATTCTTCTGATATAAAATCAGAAAGGCCAAACTCCATGGCAAGAAACTCAGTCCTTGAAATGATGTAACTTATTATCTTTTTTTTCCTTAGATCAACACGTATGGATGTTATGGTTGGTGTTTTTTCCTTTTCCCATTAATATTATATGACCGATACTAAAGAAAAATTTGAGGATCAAAGACAACTCAAAAACCAAACCTATACAAGAAGAAACACATAGTGGCTGACCGAGCTACTATGTACTCAAATATTCCATTAGCAATCAATGGGAGCAAAGCTAATGTGAAACCAGATTACATGAAATGAAAGAGACGAGCTTGAATTAAATTCAGGAGCTCAACAAATAAATGTCCAAATTAATTCAATTTAGCGAAAAGAAACCAAATACATATGTCCAATCAATGAAAGTTAAACAGTGTGTAGTAAATCTTCAATGCACAGATTACGACATTCTTACAATTCTCGTAGTCATTGTTAATATGAAAATAATGATCAACACATGATGTCTTGGGCTATGGAACCTAGGACTCAATATGGTTTCAAATCCTAAAAAGCTCAAATTTGCAATTCAATCAGTATAAAACGTAGATTCTAAGATTTGTATTCTCAAACATGTCACCCATTTACGGGGCATGTTAAAAGGTAAAATCCCAAATCATTAAAACAATAATCATAGCATAAAACTTGGATTACTCCTCCTAACAAGATTGGTTCAGCGGTCATTTCAAGAAAATAACAAAAAACAAATGAATTAACAAGATCCCAGATACCAAATCGCCTAAAATCCATAAATATACCTGAGACCCAAACTTGTGTGCCGCGGCAGCCTCCAACGCCGGCGGTACCAGAACGGCGTGCCCCGGCCACCGCTCATTAACCTTGTAAAGCGTGGCATAGTCCTCTGCAATCACCAAAACCTTCTCATGCTGCTTCTGCCTCGCAATGCTAATCAACAAGTTATTTAGAAAAGGCAAATAAGCTTCGCTCACTGCACACACAATCAAAGTATTATTCTGCGCCACCCGGGCTGCTGCATCCGACAATGTGTAGTCCCGCCACTTAGAGTTGGGATTCGAATTGAACATCAAGAACCCTTCAGGGACTTGAATCCATGGAATAAGAACGCCAAGGATTATCAAGAGAGTGAGGAGAAGGATTAAGTTCGTGCGTGTGAGGAAATTGGTGGCCGGTTTTTGGTAATTTTGCGGGAATCGGGAAGGGTAGGAGCCTGTTGAAAAATTCTGGCCTGTCCTTTGATGCCGCAGTGATGACATTTCTTGGATTTTCTTGGAATGTTGGGGACACTTTATTTGAAGTAGAATTTGGAGGGATCAAATTCTTGAACATTGAGAGACGCAATCAGATCTATGCCAGAAGAGGAGAGCAACCATCGCTGGGTAGAACGGGAAATTTATGGGGCTATGTGGATCCAAAATTACTATAAAAACCTCATTTTCACACTGATTCGGTTTGAAAGAGACTAAAATCGGATTAAAATTAAAAAATTAGTATTTATTGTTGACTTTTATTAGACGAATGAGATCCAATAACGACTATATTTTCAATTTTAATTGAATTTTAAGTTCTACCAAACAAGCTCTATATGTATCAACTATCAACCCACAGGGGTGAACATGGTTCGATTTGAGCGGTTTGTATTATATTTTCGACTCAAACCATTTTATGTGGTTCGGCAAAAACCAAACCATTATTTGCGATTTGGTTTCATTTTAATACGCGATTTATGTATCGATATTATAGTTCTATGTTTAAAACAAGTTAATATATATATTTAAACAAGAACTAATAATGTTAAATTACATTCATCTTTGTCTAAAATTCGATATATAAACAAAAAGATAAAAAAATAGTATCAAGTTAACATCTAGCAATAAGCACTCCATATTTTACAAGCAATAAATCAGAATAAGTATAAAAGTACTAACCTCTCATTTGATAAAAATTGGATTAATATCCCCTACTGTAACACATAATTTTAGAGCTGTCCGTGGGTCGGTTCGATTCGATTCTGAAGAGACCCGAACCGACCCAAAACTTTCGGGTATTTAATAAATGGACCCGTCGGGTCTAAATATAATTATGGAACCGTTCGGGTTCGGTTCCGTTCGGTTCGGTTCCGTTCCGTTCCGTTCGGGTCCGTTCAGTTCCGTACCATAATTAAATTTTTTAATATTTACAATAACACTACATAAATACAACTACTGATATTTCATTCATAACTTTTACAAATTAAAGTAGCCCAATTCAAAAACATATAAATAACTAGCCGTCCAATAAGATTCAATGCATACAAATACCAAAAAATAGATATTAATATTACAGCAAGACTATATAAAGTATATTCATTTGCTTCAAATTAAAATGGGCTAATGGGTTTTAAAAGTGATTTGAGCTTTAAAATTAAAATTATGAAATAATCTGATTTATTTAATTAATTTGCTAATTTGTTT